GGCCTTGTCGCTGGTCGATCCAGCGACAGTTCCCGATTTCTTCTTCAAAGGGACTTTCCTCAGAGGGATGTTAAAATTAAGAGCCTCTACACAAGTACAATAAGGAAATCAAGGTAAATATCAGTTTTACTTCGATAGAAATAAGAACGTATACGCAAATACTCGAGAAAATGGATTGAGAATTACCTGGGTCATTTTCAATACGAATAAGTTTGAGAATCTCCTCAGTAGGAGGAGAAAGAGTTTTATGGGTGAGCAGACCGCAAAAGTGGAGAAGATTTTCATCACCAAGGAGTTTTTCAGACTCAACGGACTTGGCATTCCAGGTGTGAATCCGTTGGTCGAAGAAGTGGTTCGGAGGAGGGGCCGAGACCGCCTCTCGCGAGACTTCCTTTACCCAAGGAATGGAAGGCCATGGGAAAGGGGCATCAGGTCGAACAAAAATAAATTTATCACTCCACTTGGGGAGGTTAGAAGGGATGTCGTTGATGAAATGGGCACCACTACGGCTTTTCAGGTAAAGGCCTCGACCTTGTTTTGAAGGGCCATAGCAATAGTGGAAGAAATCCAGATCGAATCGACCCAAACGGACATGGCAGATAATAATGAAAACGTTCATGAAACGGATAGCATTAGGGGGAAGTTGGTGCAGGGGAAGCGAGAACCACTCGCAAATGCGAAGTAGCTCAGGACTTAGAGGAAAGCGGAGACTGCGTTTGAACTGAATCTCGAAAAAAGTATAACAATCCTGTGGAGGATGACCATATTTGTCAGAGGGAGAAGATCTAAAGAACGCCCAACCAAGAGGTTGGCCGATTTTTTCAGGATTGAACCAAGGGTGAGAAGGAGAAGTAGAAGATGGGCACTTGGAAAGTTTTTTGGTCGAGGATCGTTTGGGCAGAGAATTCAAAGAAGGAGGAGCAGTGGGCTGCGGAGAAATAACCTCTTCCTCCTCTGGCTCATCTAACGTGCCAAGAGCAGGTCGACGGCGGCGGAGAGGAATGTTATCCATGGTATCCCCGGAGTTTGAAGAAGCGACGCGGGTTGTGAAAATACGAGTGGGAACTATGTCGCCGGGGCGAAGGATAGAGAGAGGGACAGCTTCGAGAGTAGAAGTTAGTATTTCAACTGAATCAGAAGAGATCTCAGAGTCTGAAAATAAAATCAAAACAAAGACAAAGAAAACAATATCAAAAAGAAGCCGCCGCAAGGAAGAAAGAGGGGAGAAGGAAGATTAGGGTTTTTGGAGAGAACAATCCTAAAACCAGAAGAAGAATTTGAGAAGTATGGGGACGGAAATTTCAAAAATTTTCAGAGAAGAAACAAAATCCTCAACATCCAATAGCCAGACAAGGGTATTCAAAGCACAAATTCAACACAAGACACGCCAATTCAAAATAATTCAGCAAACAGATCAAGAGTACCCAATATGGAAAATCCAAGAATACACAAAATAGAACTACAAAGAATACAAATTCAAGCAAGGAGAGACTTACTCATAACCGTGGATCAACGAGTGACGGAAGTTCGACAGAACCCAGGAGAAGTCACCAAGAAAGTGAGGGTTTTTTTTGCAAAAAGAACTTTGGGTACAGAGGAATTTGAAAGTCGCGAAGGTGAAAAAAAGTCTGAAATTTGCTAAGTGTTGAATTTATACTTCGGTAAGTTTAAGGGGTGAGAAGATGAAGACCGTTAGATTAAAGCCAGATCGTACGGTGGAAAGCATTAATTTGCACGGCACTCAAGGCGAGTGCGTCATACGAAGAGGTGTCATCATTAAAGCGCCTGACACATGCGGCAGACGCGACGCGTGGCAGAAAAACAGGCCCGACAGAAAGGACTTGAAACGGACGACTTTATTTCCAGCAATTAATGGGAAATTATTTGAAAACGTGAGCGGGAAACCAATCGGCTGGTCGATATTGGATGACGAGCCACCAAGGAGGTCGATAAATACCAATTCACTCTTAGATCGAGTTATCTAGACTCGACCAGAGTGGGGGGGGGGGACTAGATGATATGGGATATTATATACTCAAGGATAAACCGGTCTACTTGGCCGGTCGAGAAGGTCAAACCAGGAGGAAACCAAGACGAGAAGTGGGAAGGTCGAACATTCAGATAATCGACCAGACAGGTGGTCGACCAGTCCATCGCATGACTAGATAAGCGATCGAGCAACCCATCGCTTGACCAAATACATGATCGAGCAACCTACTCGACCTCAACAGGTCGAGCGCTTCAAGGAACCAACAGTCGGCCTAGTCATGGGCGCGCGTAAGAGCCTCTAACTAAATCTTAGGAGAATATTTACCCCATGTGCAGGAGGGACACGTGTCGATAATGTATTGGGTGATAGCGATAACCACCTCTGACAGCTCCCAACGTCCTGCGCCACCTCTGACATGTGCGCGGCGTGTCAGAGTACGGACGGGCAGCTTGGGCAGCCAACTCACCTTATCCGGGCAGCTATTAGGGCAGGTATCTCACCCCTATAAAAGGAGGGTGAGCCTTTCTCCCTTGACACACTCTATTCATTACCCAATTCCGGTATACTCATACACATATTGACTTAAGCATCGGAGGCTCTTCACCGGACACAACCCCCGGTGTAAGAGTTATTTGCAGGTTTCCGGCGTTCTACCAGCAAGGACAAGAACCGATCTACTTCAAACCGGACAAGGACGCTCACACTTGCATTAAATAGAGATACGAAATTTAATGTTTAAATACATGTTTTCTTTACAAAATAATTTTGAAAAAAAATTTATTTGACTTCACGCCTTTTCATAATAATAAAGAAAATTTTAGATATTTTTACATAAGTTATATATTATCTAAGTGTTTTAAAATTTTAAACATACATTTTTTTAATAAACGTACACTTTTTATTTTCTTGTTATACAAGATAATTTTAAACATTAAAATAATATAAGGTAAATTATATCACATGTTAATTCCACATATTTATTTTATATTAGTAATTAATATTATTTATCTACATCTTTAATTTATAATTATAGTTAATATTATATTATCTTTATATTTAATTAATAATTATCATTTATATTTTTGACTCGTGCTTATTAATTAGAAAGAGTATATAATGATGTGTAAAAAGAGCAAAATATAGATGGCCAATTTACACATATCCTATAAGATTTGCAAGAAATTGCAACTTTACGATCCATGGTATTTTAATTGCTTATATACTACTTCACAGTGAATTATTTATGTAGATGTAGCATAACGGTTTCCAAAATAAAACAAACGCTCTCCCCTTAATTTAAGCATTGTATATGGGTTTCAAAAATAAACTTAACTCCCTCTCCTTCATTTAAGCATCATATGCATTTTGAGGAGTGAGAAAAAAATAAAAATGTATTGCAACATATGGAAAGAAAATATATCCTAAAAACTCTCTCCACCGCAATATTTTAATTCTCTTATCCCTCTTCACAAAAATTACTCAATAATTATAACAAAAATATAAACAAAACAAATACCATTGATATACATAATTATGAGAAATATCCAAAACAACACAAACGATACTCAACCATATATATTGCGTTTATAGTCCATATATATTTAGGGAGTAATTATCTCATATTTGTTTATGTCAAGATTATATGATTAATAAAAATAATAATTCGTGATCGATTTTGTTTATCTGTGGGTTATGTTAAGTATATAAAAATATACAATACACATATACATAAAATACACATAAAATATCCATAAAATAAACACTCGAGATTCTCATAATTCAGTTCATCGACAGATCGGGACACACATATACGTCAAATATACTTTAAATATACAATAGAGTTTTAGTTGTTTCTCAAAATCGATTTCAGAACTCACATATACATAAAACATACATAAGATATACACTCGAGATTCTCATAATTCAAGCCAATAACAGATCAAGATACACATATACATAAAATATACCTAAAATATACTCTCGGTACTGTTCAATCTTTTCTCATTTCAGAACCCAGATTAGGAGTCGAAATCGTAGCCATGGCCCCTCGTCTCTACATCTTCAAACTCACTCGACGACGTCGGTTCTTCCCCTCCTCGACGGAGACTGGCGTATCTCGGTGGCTTCACCTCAATCGGCTGAGAATTGTGCGACGGTGAGAATGAGATGGATTCTACCATCAGGAATCTACCACCATCATCGAAAAATCGTCGCTCGTACACCATCATCACGCTCGAGAAGCCGCCGGTGATAAAGACTTGGCGAAGCCGCGGATTGCACTATCAACACGCTCGATTTCTCTCCAGCAGCAAGTTGTCGAGGAGCCGTAAAAAAAAAAAAAAAAAAAAAAAAAAAAAACTTTGATCGTATAAAATTGTAGAAGAAGAAGAAGAGACAGAGAAGGAGAAGAAGGAGAGTTATTTGGAATGTGATAAGTTTTTCCCTTTAATTACGCATAAACAAAATTTCGCCATATTTAATCTCTAATGTGGTGTTTGTGCAAATAAAATTAATAGATTATGTTAATATGCTAATATTTTATAGGTTGTTATATTTATGTAATAAAAAAATAAAGGGACCCCCAGATGCAAATTCCTCAATATAGATTGAGTTTTGGATTCATAGAGCAACAAATCCTAGGCCCATATCCTAAATTGGGCTCTCAATTTAATTGACCGCGTATAAGCTACATGTGGCCCAGTTGATGTCCACCGATTATAGTGCGTCATGTCACAGCTTCTCGTTATCTAATGGAATCTTTTGTAATCATTTATGCGCAAATCCATTAGCGTTAAAATCAACAATTTATGACCTACAATTTGGAATAATATATTGCGCAATCAGATTCCTTCATTATTATTTATTTATTTATCAACAAGTTTTATTTATTTATTTATTTATATAAAAAATCTACAATTTCGTGCTGATTTTGAGTTCCTATATTTTCATATTTGTTTTCCTGCTCCCGTCGCCGGCCAACGATTTACCCTCTTCCGGCTTGTGGTCCGAAATGGTTTCACCGGAAAACACGAATTGGCTCTATGACTACGGGTTCGAGGATGTCGCTGTAGCCGATGGCAGTTTCTGCGCTCCTAATTCAGGGTTTGCTTGGCCCGTGCTGGCCTTGAACGCCACATCGAATGCCTCCAGGTACTTTTGATTTACTGTATTTTCTGGAATCTTAATTAGTTTAGTTGTGGTTTTTATGTTTTCCTTGTTTGATTGAGGTTTTGAAGACTTCTTTCCCTTTCCATATCTGTTTCTTGGTAGTCAGATGTGGTGCTTTATATTTTATGGGTTTCTGTATCCTTTGATGTTCCGATGTTTCCCCTAGCCTTTTTGTTTGATGTGTTTCTTCAGACTACATTTTATTTTATTTTTTAAAATCGCGTCTCTTTGTTTTATCACTGCGCTGTACACATAATAAGTTGGTATTTAACTAGTTATATTATGCTGATTCCTGAATAGTTTTAGAGCTATCCCCAAATTCTTGCTAAGTGCTTAAAATTGATGTAATACGGAGTTGCTTAGGTATTCAAAAGAAATGGGTTTTAGTGAACCTATTAAACCAACTAATTTTATTACTGGTATAGTGTTTTCCCAAATTGTTATGTGAAGTGAGCTTGTTACTCTTGTCTCTATGGATTTTGGTAGTCCTGCATTCTATTGTTTCGGAAAGGCTATATTTTTTAGGTTCATTGTGGAATGGAATTAGAGACTTCTCATGATTACGAGGACTGTTTTTTGTTGACATTTGTTATATACACACACACACACGCACACACACACACATATATATATATATATATTATATATATATATATATATATGTGTGTGTGTGTGTGTGTGTATTAGGATGTTGTAAACCATAGTAGTTTTAGTTGGATCCTATCCAGGAGGCACTCAGTTGTTGAAGTTACATTCTCTTTGCATGTTTAGGACTGTATGTAATTCAGATGCTATAAGTTTTTGGCTTTGCTAGTTATGATTTAGGTTTTGCTGAAGGAATATAATTTGGAGATGATTTGAGGACGCTCATCTGTTTCCATATGATAGGTTATGGTATTTGAATATTAATGAACATAGATTGTAGATGTCACTATGAATATGACCTAACCAGGGTCTCTGACCATATGCGAGGGAGAATGTCTATCTTGCCTTTCGAGGTGAGTATATGATAGCATTTAATTTGTCCTGATTTTCATTACCTAAATCTGGGTAGGTTTCTGATTAGGATATTCATGGTGTAGTGCCAGTATAATATTCCTCCATATTCTTGATTTTAACAGTAAGTACATGGTCAGCTCCACTGTTCCTTCTATTCTTACAATCTTGTGGTTACTTGGGAGTTTAATGGATTTTTTAACTGTTGATTTTGTTTTATACAATACTTTTGTGGGTAGTCTCTATACTTGTAAAACTGAGCAAAAATAAGGTACCTTTGGATCAGATAAGTTAGGAGGTACTTGTCAGCTGTAGGGGATACCTGACGAGCTTATAGCTGTATTGGATACCATTTTCTCAGATATTGTAATGAAAGATTGCGGTGACCTGCTCTACTTTTATTTATCTTTGAGTGCTTTATTGAAATCATCTGCTCTATCCTTGTTTGTTCCACTCAATTAAAATCAATGTGAGGATTATTCGTGTTATTATGGATTTGTTGTCTACTCGTAGTGTTGCAGTTGATGGATCATTTGGAGAACCAGATGTTTCCAAGGAATCTGGGACAAAGAAGCGGTAACACCACCCTCCCTAGTCACACATATAATTCCATAAAGGACCGAGAAAGGACAATTAAATTAACTAGATGTATAGTGTTATTCTTTTATTCTCTCAAACTTATTATACACTTGCAGTTCTAGGACTGAATCGTTTGCTGCACCATCCAGTTCCAAAGCATGCAGAGAGAAACTACGAAGGGACAGGCTAAATGACAAGTAAAAAATCTGCATTGTGATGTTGCTGGTTCTCCCTTTACCTGTACCTCTTACATTTGCTTTGGCCTGCTGTTAGGTTTATAGAGTTGGGTGCTCTTCTTGAGGCAGGGAGACCTCCCAAGACAGATAAAGCTGCTATTTTGGTGGATGCTGTTCGTATGGTGACTCAACTAAGAGGTGAAGCTCAGAAGCTGAAAGACTCGAATTCGAATCTCCAGGAGAAGATTAAGGAGCTGAAAGTAAGTTTTGTAATCTCCTCTTCTTCTGTTATTTTAGCCAAAAGTAATAAGAAAAACAACCCCCTCGAATTGAGTTTTACTTAAGTAAGACACTTCTAACTTTGCTAATCTGAAGCACCTCCAATTTTTGTTTTATTATTATTATTATTATTTTTTAATCGTGACATATTCCTGAGATATTTTGCTTGACCATGAAAAGGCTGCTGTAGATATATGAATGAGGAGCAATTCATATGCGAACAAAAAATATAAAAAAAGAGAAAACATTTTCAGGTGGCCAAAAAAATATCGGAAGAAAAGTAATTATGTGATAGATAGCTTGGATGAATCAAGTGCTGAATTATGATCGGGAATTTGAGGGTTACAACTTCTGAAAGGATGAACACAAATTTAGATAGAGTACCTGTCAACATGCACAGTGCACTTTTTATTTAAATGTTCTGCAAGATGGGCTATTTGTTTGGTCGATGGAAACTTCATTGGGTCATTGTGACTTTTAAGATGAGTGTGAGGGTGTATGAATGCATATACCTTACCTTGGCTAGTTTTTCGCTATTATTATCCTTCTCTTACGAAGTTATATTTATTTATGTACTTATTTTTCAGTTGCTAAATTTATGCTTTCATAATACGTGCAGGCTGAGAAGAATGAGCTTCGTGATGAGAAGCAAAGGTTAAAGGAGGAGAAGGAGAATCTCGAGAAGCAGCTGAAGTCAATGAATGTCATGCAGCCAGGCTTTTTGGCAGGCCCTCCACCCATTCCACCCATTCCAGCTGCATTTGCCCCCCAAGGCCAAGCTGCCGGCAACAAACTGGTGCCAATTATCAGCTACCCAGGCGTCGCCATGTGGCAGTTCATGCCGCCAGCGGCTGTTGACACGTCTCAGGACCATGTGCTGCGCCCACCGGTTGCCTAATGGTATTGGCTGCTAGTCATGTGATTGTGGTTTAATTGTTAAATAATGTACTCTACTGTAATACTTTTTGCTCAATTGTCTTATCTAACTTGGATATATCTATCTGGTGAATTGTGTTGACCTTCAGTCATTGTTGAAGTTCAAAATATAGTATTTTTAGTTTATGGTAGTTATTGCCTTTATTCAAACACTTACAAATATTCAGGTCAATCATATCGTCAAATTTCATGATTTTGTATGATCCTTATAAGGTATTTCTACTATGAACATATATTTTTTACTCTCTCTTCATATAGACATTGACACTTTCCCACGGAGGTGCCATGGGTTGTGCATGAATTTAATCTCCAAATAAAAGTTGAATTTCCAGAGTTTTGGTTATATGTATTTCTCTCCATGCACTAAATGTTGTGAAATAATCACATTACATGAAAGTACGTATTATAAAGTAATTGCGAATGTTCGAGTATAATACACCAATAAGATTATAAATATTTCTATAAAAAAGTGTCAAATCCATTCAAACATTCAAAATATAAATTAAAAATTATTATGATTAGGTTCCGACATTCTCTTTTCAGTGTTATTTATTTGGAAGATAAATGAACTACATAATTTATTGGTTGCAAATCATTGACATCTTGGTTGTTGTAATGACTTTAGAGTTGTTCATTATAATATCTTTAATATTCATTGGGTTTTGCAATATTTATGGCTTGATAACTTAATTAATATTATTATTGTCCAACTTTTTATCTCATACACAATGCTTAAAAAATTCAGGATAAAGATCATTTTTAATTCTTCAACAATGACAAAACAAAATAAAAGAAAACGACAATATTTTAAGGATATCATCTGTCAAAGTATTCTAAGAGGAGAATAATTATAATTCTAATATATTATGATACCCTATTCATTTGTGAACATTATATTATACATATTCATTATTAAAATCTACATTATGTATTACAAAGCTTAAAACTTTTTAATTATATAAAATTCAAAATTGATATATAGGTTCATTATTCATGAGAACCAATTTCTTATAAAACTCATATATTCATACGCTAGCAATTAAAAAAACAGCAATTTTAAAAAACTTTTGCTTCTAGATATTGATATTCCTACTTCACTAAAAAATTTCAGGCTTTTTCGCCCACTACATCACTATTGTTTTATTTGTTTCGTATTCTATTAAGAAATATTTTTTTAGTTGTTAAAAGAACTAGAGCACATTTATATGCATTGCGTCATTTTTTGTTCGTGTTTTATATAAGGACGTTGTAATCAAAATATCTGATTTATTACGAAATGACTAATATAATCACATAAGATAAAATATTATTTAATATTACTTACTTATTATGTATAATAACAATATATTTGATAAACATTTACTTTTATATTGTTTATAATGTTAAAAAGTTTAGGATTTCTTTTTGCAATATTAGATAAAATATGAAGTAACTAACTCATTTTCGTATTCATTGTTACAACCATTATTTTGCTCCCTTTCAAGCAGTAATTGAATAATAGTTTAACATAAAACTCATTTATTTCTCATTTTAATGCACATAATTAAGGTTGGTAATCTTTGTACGTTTACATCCATTATGTATATTTTTCTTAGTATGAATTTTTCAAATCTATATAAGAAGAATATAGCATTGTTTATCTTATGTTATTCTATATTTAATAAAATTGATTTAACATGAATCTATAATTTAATTTATAAAATACTTTTAAGTACGTTATTAATTTAAATTAGTATTGTAGTCTTCCAGATATATATGTCTTGCTATATATCAACAGAGATAATCATGTTATTTTTCTTATTTACAATACACTGGTCAAATCAAACATCATTAGAAGCAATGGTGTGATATATTACATATAAATGAAAAAAAAAGTTCTGTTCAAAATTTAAAAATTAATGGTAAAAAGTAATTTATTTTTTTAACTCAATAAAATTAAGACTAACATATCGATTTTTAACGTATATATATATATATATATATATATATTTTCTACGAAAGAAATAAGAATAAATCGTAGCCATTACATCGTATAATCTAGTGGCAAAAAAAAAAAAAAAGGTAAGGGCAATATGGATATTTTCTGCACAACCCATCCATTGCCCGTGGGACCTACCCCACAAACAATTCTGGACACACCTCTTTCTACCATATCTACTCTCTCACCTAAACCTGGAGCCCCACAACCATCGACCCACCCCACTTTCTCTCCCTCGCACCCACCACCTACTTCACCGCTTGGTCACGCCACGTCGCGGCCGTCCTCTGCCACCTCGACTTCATCGAGAACTTGCTCTTCCGCGGGCCCGAGATCGTCGACAAAGAATGTAGTGCTCCGTTTGATTTTTAGATTTCTGGAATATTTATTATTTGCATTTTAATTTTCTATGCTCGAAAAGCTCTTCGGATTAATTAGATGTTAGTTTCTATTTAAATCCTTTAAGAGAAATAACTAATTTGGTCGATAGTGTCTATTTAAATTACTCGAATTATTGAATATTCATTAGCCGCTCGATTTTATTCGATTTAATTATTTAGAGATAAATCGTATTTTCGACCTTTTGTTAAGAGAATAATCGGTCCTTTAAGCTCTTGTGTTTATCGGCCATTAGTATTCTAAATCCGGCTACGAGCTTTAGTATTTTGTTTTAGCCCATTAAGAATTTTTCTCAATTGCAATAGAGTCTCGGCCCAAGAGTTAAATATTTTCCAGCCCAAAAGAGTTTAAATCTTTAGCCCAATTGAAACAAATTCCTTGGCCCATTAGAGATAAGTGAGCAGTATTTTGAGGAATTTGCACCCCATACTTTCCTATAACAATTATATTACATATTTAACACCAATTAACTTTTATTTTTAAATTTGCAACTTCAACACAAAAATATTACACATATACCAAGTTTTTAATGGCTGAAGCCAATCTATCAAATTATGGAATGTTTTAATTAATGATTTTCTCCTTAGTTATTGGAACAAAACCTCCCACGATCTCTCCTAAATCGAAAAATATAATCCCAAAAAATCGGCCATTATATCTCTGCAAAACCGCACGTTCTCCATGGAGTCGATGAGGGAGACAATCAAATTTTGGTTGGAATATCTTGTTGAGGTGAGTGTGAGGTGAGGGTAAACCCTAGCCACCAGTTCATCCATTGATTTCTCGTCGTCTCTGCAGAGGTCATGGAGGCGCGCACGAGGTTGAGATGGAGAAATCGGAGGTGGGGTCAGTGGCGTATGGCGACAGAGGATAATGATCGGAGATGGATTTCCCATTCTCTTCTCCGTCAGCCATTTTTTACATTTCTTGTTGGAAGAATTTTATGATGTCCTCCAGTTTCGTCGACGTCCTCGTCGAGGGGGTGCGGGGTCGCCAACTCGCCATGGTTGGAGGAGATGGTTAGTTGGTTGCAAGAAAATCGATGTTTGGTTCGATTTTTTTTTAAGGTTTTGGACTGTGTCTAGATGATGGTAACAGAGTATAGTTTCGTTATACAAATTAGTTTATGATCAGTATATGTCAGTATATGTATGGTATATGTGCAGTATATGTACACCCTAGAGATATCTACAGTTATTGTACGTCTTAGTTCATGTTTGGTTTATTTTGTTTATAAACAAATTAGTTTGTCAATGGATGTATGTCTTTATGTTTTCAATGTTTATTCATAATTTATTTTGGTATAATAGAAGATTTTTTTGGTTGAAAACGAATTTCATTACTAATATACATTATTTTTTGTCGACCAGTCATTTTTTTTTTTGTGGTATATTTGCGTAACTTTTCTTAAGAAAAAATCGATCGCGCCTCTATCGTTTGTGATATGTCGTGGTATATGTACAATATATAATCAACATATGTATAGTATATGTCACACACACACACACATATATATATATATATATATATATATATATATAGTTATATATACATATTTTTTGATGGAACATATACCTTAATTTGATCCATAGTCCTCTTGTTTTTTTCGGTATATTTTGCATAGAAAAACAATAAATTCATGTATGTTTCATTGGGTATATGTCAGTATATGTGCAGTATATGTACATCCTAGGGATATATATAGTTATTGTATATCTTAGTTTATGTTTGGTTTATTTTTTTAAGTACAAATTAGTTTGTGAATGGATGTTTGTTTTTATGTTTTCAATGTTTATTCATAATTTATGTTTGGTATATTAAAAGATTTGTTTCGTTGAAAACGAATTTGATTACTAATATAAATTGTTTTTTTATCGACCAGACAACTTTTTTTTGTGGTATATTTGCGTAACTTTTCTTAAGAAAAGATCGATCGCGCATCTATCGTTTGTGATGTGTTGTGGTATATGTAAAGTATATAATCAGCATATGTACAATATATTTCATATATATATATATATATATATATATATANNNATATATATATATATAATATATAATAAATATATTTATATCCGACTATGATATCATCATATCTGTAGAAAAAAAAACCGGAATACATAATATTTGATGGAAAATATACCTTAATTTGATCCCATAGTCCTCTTTTTTTTGGTATATTTTTCGTAAAAGAACAATTAAAAAAAAAAGAATAAAGAAATGAATTGATATAGAAAAAATATACCTTGATTTTAATCGACATGTGATTTTTTTGTGGTATATTTGCGTAACTTTTCTTTAAAAAAAATCGATCGCGCCTCTATCGTTTGTGTTGTGTTATGGTATATCTAAAGTATATGATTATATATGTACAGTATATGTTAAATATATATGTATAGTCGCAGGATAAAAACCATCGCCGGCGATGAATCTTCCCTGCGATTTTGTACTTTTTGCCCAATTTTTGCTCCTCACGCAGGCAATGCTCGAACCGATCGATTTCCTCGCGTTATTCTCCCCAATCGCCACATCAGCACGAGTGGCTCAAACCACCACCACTAACAACGACCCCTGTCATCACATCC